CTTGTGGAGCTTGCTTAGAAATGGCTTCCTCTTTGCACTGTAGAGTTTCAGCTGGCAACGGCGGATGGCACGGTGGATTGTGTTCACTGACAATGCTTTCTGGAAGTATTCCTGAGCCCATTCTGTTATTTCCTTGACAGTGGCATTCCTGTTTGAGGTGCAGTGACGTTTAAGGGCCCGGAGATCACGAGCATCCAGTAGAGTTTTACGGCCTTGACCCTTACGCACAGCGATTGTTCCAGATTCTCTGAATCTTTTGATGATGTTATGCACGGTTGATGGTGATAACTTAAAAGTCTTTGCTATTTTACGCTGGGAACACCATTCTGGTATTGCTGCACTGTCTTTCTGTGCAACAATGGTGGAATTGGCGATCCTCTTACCATCTTGGCTTCTGAGAGACACTGACACTCTGAGAAGCTCTTTTTATACCCAATCATGTTGTCAATTGACCTAATTAGTGTTAAATGGTCTTCCAGCTGTTCATTCTATGCTCAATTTCCTTTTGCCAGCCACTTATTGCTACTTGTCCCAACTTTTTTGGGATTTGTTGACACTGTGAAATTTTGAATCAACATATTTTTCCTTTAAAATGTTACATTTACTCAGATTAAATCCAAAAAAGTTCAATCTGGTCCTCTGGACATTAAAAAAAAAACAAAAGCAAAACAAAGCAAAAAAAAATTCTAGAAACGTTTTGTCTCTCATCCAAGAGACTTCCTCAGTCTGAGGTGCTGTTTTCAGCTCAGTCTCTTAAATAGCACCTTCTTAGAGTGGATCAACCAGTTTGCTGCTGACAACCACAACCAGCTGATCACATGCTCAAGAAGGACCATCAGCCTAACAATGGGTCATTAACACACTGATGGCTGTTTACTACTCACAGAGGGCTGAGTGATACTAGCAATCACAGCATTGTAAGAGGGGGACAGTTGAACCCGGAGGCCTCCACCCCTGTTTAATGAAGGACGAATTCTTTTCACAAAGATGGCCTCCTTTACTCCTCTCTCAAACCATCGTTCCTCTCTGTCCAGGATGTGAACATCTTCATCCTTGAAAGAGTGACCACTGGCCTGGAGATGAGTGTAGACCGCAGAGTCCTGGCCTGATGATGTTGATCTTCTGTGCTGGGCCATCCTTTTGGCCAGTGGCTGTTTTGTTTCCCCGATGTAAGACTGATCACAGCCCTCCTGACACTGAACAGCATACACAACATTACTCTGTTTGTGCCGGGGGACTGGATCTTTGGGATGAACCAGTCTTTGCCGTAATGTATTTTGGGGTTTAAAAGCCACTGGGACGTTATGTTTAGAAAATAAACGTCTCAGTTTCTCTGATACCCCCTCAACATATGGAATGACCACTGGTCTGGGTCTGGGTTCCTCCTTTTCACCTGTTGGCTGACTGGAGTCCTGTTTGGGTTTCTTCTCTGCTTTCAGGAAGGCCCAGTTAGGATATCCACATTGCTCTAGATCCTGTTTTGTGTAGGATTTCTCCTTCTGCCTGGCTCCTGAGCTAGTGGGGATGCTGTCTGCTCTGTGATACAGAGTCCTGATGACTCCTAACTTGTGCTCCAAAGGGTGATGGGAGTCAAACTGCAAATACTGGTCTGTGTGGGTGGGTTTGTGGTACACCTCGGTTTGCAAATGTCCTCTATCAGAGACTGAGACCTCACAGTCCAAGAAAGCCAACTTGCCATTTTTTTCATCTTCTCGTGTGAACTTGATGTATTTATCCACAAAGTTGATGTGGTCAGTAAAATGTTGGACTTCCTGAGATTTAATTTTAACCCAGGTGTCGTCAACATACCTGAACCAATGACTTGGTGGTGTCCCTGAAAAGGAAGTCAAGGCTCTCTTTTCTACTTCCTCCATGTACAGGTTGGCAACAATAGGAGAAACTGGAGACCCCATAGCACACCCATGTTTCTGCCTATAATATTGTTCCCCATATGTGAAGTAGGTTGACTGCAGGCACAGTTTCAAGAGTTGACACAGTTGTTCTGTGGAA